CCCTTGATGCAACCGTGATCTCTCTCTCTCTCTCTCTCTCTCTCTCTCTCTCTCTCTCTCTCTCTCTCTCTCTCTCTCTCTCTCTCTCTCCCCCCGTGTGTGTGTGTGGCATCATCATACGTAAACAGTGTCGGTTATTTTTCGAGAAGAAAATAAAAAGCAACTCATCATTATTATGCACATCATGATTCAGGTTATCGCGCACGTCATTACCCGATCATGTACGTGAGGTGGCAGATGGTGTCACAGCTCGACACATGAAGCCAGTATGGAAAGAAAAAAAGCAAACCAAAACGAACACACGCACGTCCATGACGGAGTGTAATGATGGACCGGGTATGCGTCGGAAGAACATTATTGTTTAGAAAATTGGGTATCAGTATGCCTTGTCACGCCCATCAGCGACGTCAAAAACTTTGATGTTACTATAATCTATTCATCAATCAAACATTTATTCTTCAGAAAAGTGATATTTCAGTATGCCACGACATCATCATCATCATCATCATCATCATCATCCATGTCATCAGTTCTCCTCAAGATTCTGGTAAAGATCTCCCAAGGTCAATGAAAATCCGCTGCCGCCAACATAAACGGACGTTGATGAAGCTGTGACACATCCACTTCGTCGAGATTTTTAGTCTGTCATTCGGTCATCCATGCCTTCGTCATCCAGTGATCATCAGATAGATCAACCGCCTCCTGACGTTCCTCCTCCTGCCGCAACCCCTCAGCTTCCTCCCTTCCGTCATCACCTCCTGCTTCTCTTCTCCACTTCTTCAATTCTCTTCTCCTCCGCCGCTTCATCAACGTCCGTTATGCTGGCGGCGGCTGATTTTCATTTACCTCGGAAGATCATCACCAGAATGTTGAGGAGAAACTGATGTCATGGATGATGATGAAGAGGAAAAGGTAAGCGGGAGGGAGGAAGAAGGTACGACGGAGTCAGGAAGAAGGGCAGGTAACAAGCAAACAGAGGATAGGAAACGCGCAGGGAGAATAGGGAAGCAAATACTGTATGATTCGAGAAAGGAAAAGGGCGAGGTTCATCGGAGGAGGAATATTCCGCTCTCACCCTAAAGTCAACACGCTGCCATAGACACGCATGTGCGCTTCGTCGCGAAGCCATCGCCTGCACTGATTAGGCGCCGAGCATCGCCATAAGGGGTTATTGTGGCCAAAGCGCAGCGGCAAGGTTGCAGCGCTGGCCAGCGTCGTCGACTTGTCGACCGCCGCTGCTGCAGCCTCTGCGTGTACTCCAGCCATAAACACCGCCGAATGAAAAAGAAGAAGAAGAAGCACTACAGTCGGCAGAACCGAGGTTCCCAAACAGCCCGCTGTGGACAACGGCCATGACCGCAGAGTCTCCCTGGTTGCTTGACGAATAGGGGATGCACGCCTATCTTCCACGTGGAGGTCTGCGCTGGACCTGCGGGAGGACAACCCCATGAAGACGTCGGCCATTCCCATGCAAAGCGGATCCAGCGGCGGGCGCTTCCTGCGCAAAGAGCAAAGCGCCGCCATCGCGCCCGGCTCAATCGGACAAGGCAATAACGGACAGAGAAGACAACGAAGCCACCACGTCGCACGGGTCTCCATGAGAGACCGTAAGATGCGGCCGTCAACCTACAACTAATGTACGTTCGAGTGTTCACTCCTCAGGCACTTCCTTAACCACACTACGAGGCTAGCGGACGATGCTATCAGTCAGCTGGTCCAACCTTCCCGCCATCATCGTTTTCAGCCCAGCTTCGCCATCGTCATTTTCCGTGGACAGCCCATAAGCTGCGGCAACGGCGGAATTCCCACGCAGGTCTTGCCGCTGGTCGCTGTCCTCAACGCCAATACGGCGCGCGCTGAAGGATGCAAAGCGCGCGGCGAGAGGAAGCGCACATGCTCAGTACACTACACCACAATATTGGGACTGGGACCACCCGCGAAGCCCGCTGTGCCCCAGCAAGCCCAGCAGCTGCCAGGAGCTTGCTGGGGCCAGCAACAGCAAATGTGTCCAATAGCTGGGGCCACCTTGCGACCGCACTGTTTCTGCCCCTCCGGGCCCCCGGCTTGCCGCTTTTTCCGCCCTGGCCTGGGCTGCCCTCCCCTGCCCTGGCTCTTCGGGTAGGCAATCCCTGCTGGCTCCGCAAGGACGGAGTGTCCCAACCAGCGATTGGCAGACCCAGACAGGAAGCAACGCGACACGCGTGCATCACCACGCGGGGGACGAGCGACTCTGTCTCGCTGCGTGCCGTCCTGCTGGTCGGTCAAGAATAAATATGGCCTCCTAAGCCGTCCGATGGACTCAGCCAAACAATCGCGTCGCGGCGACTGAATTGCGCGCGCCGTCCAAATACACATGCTCTGGTGTACGCCTCAGCCTCCTCAAGCGTAGTCGTCTTGGCCCTCGGGGGCTTTCAGACTTGCTTTCAAGTGAGCACGGGTTCCTGCCATGCGATCTGATAATCACACGGCCGCACTGTGGCCTTGTTGGAAAATACTTGAAAATCTCATGCGGGAATGGTCACCGGGACTAGTAGGTCCCACAGCAGAACCTTCATTTCTGCCCGTAGATTGTGGAGATGGACGGCAAGAAATGAAAACGTGACGCCGTGGCACTCAGCCCCCCCTCATCCTGCTAGAGAATTCCCTTTCCCTTTTTTTTCTTTTGATTATTGACATCAGAGGGGCAGGGATAAGACCCTATTGTCTACCATGGGGCACGGTTCATGGCGCCTTGCTGCACTACACTTGAAACTTGCATCACCGCTGCATAAACTCTTGACTTGACGGCCCTTGAAAGTTTTCGGGAGCTGTCAGATTCACTCTCGAAAACGTCAAGAGTGAGTCACAGCCGCACTAACTCTCGAAACGTGCTCTCGATTTTTTTTTTTAAGAGGTGTCAGAACGCAGCTTTAGGCGAACTGCATGGTGGGAGGCAGTAGCCCTATTGGGAGTAGGGCAGATTGGGGATTGTCTGAGTCTGGGGCCGGGGTTGGAGAGTTGGTCGCCTTCAACCCCAGCGGGGGCAGATAGGGACAAGGGGTGGGCAAAGGCAGCCTCTAGGAGGGGATTGGTTGCTGTTGCGGAGGTGGTGGTGGGAGGGGAGGGGATCTGTTTTATGTTGGGGCGGAGGGATTTTCCTCGGTGGAGGCAGCATGAGACAAGGTATAGTGGGTAGGGATTGGTTTGAGCTGTGACCAATGAAAGCGTATCCTTTTTACGGCGTCCTCAAAAAAGATCTGATGACATATTCTCAATTCTTTGATTGGACTCCAATTATCTTCTCTCTCTTTGAACTATGTGGTGGAGGAGGTCGGCTCGTCGAAGGGAGATGGAAAATTGAAGTCCATTCTTAACCATAGGGGTTTTGGAGAGGTTGATTGTCTGCTGTTTCTTATCTTCCGAACTATGTGGTGGAGGAGGTCGGCTCGTCGGGAGATGAGGAAGAGCAGGGGGGTGCTAGGCATAGCAGGCAGGAAGCTAATTGTTCTCAGACTTGTTCAGAATTTGTTTCTGGACTGATTACTTTCTTCTCTCCCTTCGACCTATGTGGTGGAGGAGGTCGGCTCGTCGAAGGGAGATGGAAAGTTGAAGTCCTATTTCAAACCAAAAAACATAGTTCTAATTAGATTTTTCTAGTAGTTCCTGTTTTTTTCTCATGCAAGTTCTGATGGAATTTTCCGAATGTATTTGTGATGGGACGCTGGGCCCGGTTCCCAGTTTTGTGCCAACCTGTGCGGAAAAGTTGTATCTACCGGTTTCCAGCAGGTGCTGCTCCCCACCAATAGATGGAGCTTGTCCTTACTAAAAAAAAAAAAARAAAAAAAAAAAARAAAAAAAAAAAAAAAGGCTTTAGGCGAACGCTTGAAGCTTTAGGAGTTCCCGCCTGCAGCAAGTTCCTTTTCAAGGGAGGTCGCCGAGGCCCTTCAAACGCCCAGCATTTTCGAGAGTAGGTCTCTGGTCTCAGCCGACAAAGCAGATTGGCGCTGTCAGGTAGTGTTGTGTCAGTTTTCTTGAAGTTTGAGCGCCCGTCAAGAGTAGCAGGAAGGCGTGTAGTAAGGGGCGGACCAGTTGCGGACGGGACCACAAGCGGGGTTGCGCCTAGCATGGGGAGCTCTGCAGGTGGGGGGGGGGAGTTTTGGGCCTCGCTGCACTACTCTCCAAATGTGCAAAGCGAGAAATTTCACTGGGCGTCGAGAATGAATCTACTGCTAGAACGTGGGTAGATGCACCGCCATATTTTTTGTCTTTTGTGGATGTGGAGAATAGTGCAGCGAGGCCAACCACTTCTGAAATGCCGCACTGCCCTCTGCACGATGCGCCCAGAAATGCGACCTGCGCGCTGGGCACCGCCGTCCCCGCAGCCTCCCCGCCTATTCGACGGATCCCCACGATCGTGCAGCTGACGCGGCGCATCTTTCCTCTATACAGACCGCGCGTGTGGGCCTACTGTCGGAGTGTGGAAGTGCGGAAGTCCCAGGTCCTGCCGGCAGTGCGATTTCGAGCGTGCCGCCGTCGCTGCACTACACTCTCGATTGTCTGTAAGGCTCTCCAAAACTTTTCAAGAGTGGGGCCGTCAAGAGTAGTGCAGCGACGGCGGCAAAAAATGACTTTTTGAGAGTCTGACATCTCTCGAACGACGCTTGAAAGTTTTCGAGAGTCAAGTGTAGTGCGGCCAGGCCCATGGCCTATTATGACCTGTGCGGCACTGTAAGAAAAGGATGAAAAGTAATTTTAAGGACGGGTGCTGCAGACTAGTGGACTGCTTCATACTGCATGTTACCTCCCTCACCCAAAAAAAAAAAAAAAAAAAAAAAAAAGGCGACGTGACGACGTCACATTTTCCAAGATGGGAAGGAGGCTGACTTTTGAAAATGCTGTCGTGGCGACGTCACATTTTCGAAGATGGGAAGAGGCCGACTTTTGAAAGTGTTGTCGTCCCACTAACCCTCCCGTCTCCTCCCCCTGCTCCCCACCCAGCCAATACCTAATCAGGACAGAGTAGTACGTGACTGTTGCAGTCTTGCGTACCACCGCGAGGGAGTCCCTTCGTGTGCCTGATGGGACTCCCTTCTCTGACGGTTGTCATGCTGAAGCGTGCAGTTCGTAAATTTTGAGAGAAAAATCAAGTACTGGATGGGGTTACGATTGACCGGGAAGAAGAAGGGGGTCAAAACCATGCCCTTCGAGTACTTGATTTTTTTAATTTTTTGAAGAGCTGCCAATCAAAATGAGTCTTTCTATTTTCTTTTCCCTCCTCCCATTCTTGGGAACTGGCAAGAAAAAGCACGAAAAAAAAAAAAA